TCAATTTCTAGCTGTAAGTCAAGACATGAGGCAGACTTAACTGTATCTGTTGTATTCTTTATCTCAAGTTCGATGGGATAGATGCGTTTAACATAGTCACCAAATTTTGAATTATTTAGCGAGAGAAAATCATCTACATAGCGGAAAGTAAAGTTAAAGGATACTGCTAACTTCTTTTCTTTCTTCCTAAGAAGTTTCTGTATGAAGTCAGTATCATAAGAATAAAGGAACAAGTCGGCAAGAAGACTTGTGAATTAGGCCGTTAGTTTTCTCACTTGCAATGCATTATATTCTTTTATGTCGGGGACGTTTATAGCCGACTATACGGTATATGTCTTTCTCGTTGTTGAATTCACTTTGCCTATAATTGCTTACACCCACTTTATTTGAACTTTAGTTGATATTCGTTTGTCTCATTGGCAATCATACCACATTACTTTATTTTTATATGGCTCTAGTAAAGTATTTCAAATCCAAGTTGACTTTGGAGCAAAACAAAATTATGCATGACTTGTTTCAAATATTATAGGACAATCAATATTTTTTCTTTATCAGGTTGAACAAGTTTTTCCTTAATTTGCGCAGGTTACCACCAAACAAATAAAAGACGTTATGTGAGAAGTCAGTACATGCTCAGGACCATACAGGAGTAGATGAAACTTTGCAGAAAGTGTGACGCACATTACTGATAGTGGACAGGATTGTGGTGTAATGTTGAATTACTTTAGCAGTAGGGATGTTTATGTGAATCTTAGCGATGAATAAGATACAAGAAGTTTCATCAAGGTTATACGATGTTATATGTCAATAAGAGGGTTCCGAAATAAATGATTTCATACGAAGTTCGCTAATCGAAATTTGAATCTGGTTGCAAGGAACTGCAAGCATCGATGCAAAACTGGAAATAGGTTTGGAAAGAACTATGTCATGTAATGGGAATTCACGTAAACATTTATCTAATCGGTCCGGAAGAGCTAAATGATCACTATTATTTAGTCAATAATGGCATGTTCTGATATATACAAACGGGGTACCAAACATTTTGAATGAGCGGCCAATATGAACCGCAACATGTGATTTAGACGAAGGAACTCACTGAATGATCGCAATTTTGGAAGGTATCTCTTAATGTGTGGAAAAGAGTAAAAATACAAATGTTGATGAAGACTATTGTAAATATTTGTGTGATATCAATAAGCAATGCCAAAAGTCACGGATTAAAACATTTGAAGTAGGTCGATAAAGACCCTAATTCAAATTGTCAATGAAGACTCTTGTGTATATCTTTTGTGTAAATCATACCTAATTGTCCAATGACAATCTTGTTTCAGTATTATGTTCACGAAATTAAAAATACAAACACATATATAGCAAATTACGGTGGGTCAGCTTGTCTTCTATGTTGTTAATTAAAATAATAATTGTTTGAAGGTTGCTGTATGATATGATGTACATCACTACGAGAACATCCAACATACATAAAATCAAGACACATCCAGGTATGAACATAACATCATCAAACATAACTAATTTGATTTACATTGTTCATATTTTACTTTGGACATTGACTTGTGCGTTCTGTTTTTCTTCTTCCTTCTATTTTGGTCAATGCACATTTAATGCAATTACATGAAAAGCAACACAAGAAGAAAATGAATAAAACCATTTTTTATTTTATAAGCTTGTTAATATATGGCATGTATAGTCATAATTAAAGCTATGTTGATTAACACATCCAAAAGCTACAATTCTGTGTATAATAAAAGTTGCAAGAGTTGCTGATATTGCAACAAAATAAGAAAAAGCTATTTCTAAGAATTATAACAATGTGGTATAGTAAAAAGAACCCAAAGATTGTACTTTTGAGGAATAGGATACGACCCCCTTTGATAACCATTTAGCGCAAAGTTCAATTAAAAAAGATTTGAGAGAATACAGAAAATATAACGCAAATAAATTATTTAAAATTAATTCAACGCCATCATGATTTCGTTGAACGTTAAACTTCCCCTTTTTACATATTACTGTAGGTATATTTCACTTGTTCTAACAACGATCCTTTCCCCGTTGCCTTGATTGTTATATTAGGGAAGTTGATATATCCCAGATGTGTATTAGCGTGAGCCACTCGACTGTTGCAACTGACGGAGCAGCAACTGATAACCAGCCAGAAGCACATGACTTAATCCTTGATTTTAAAAATAATGCAACATTGAAAGAAGACAATGTAAATAATACACATAAGTAACATTGAAAGATATAACCAAATGTAAACAATTGCCATTGGGTTTTCATTTGTTCAAGGAAAATAGATACATGTTTTATCTAGTGAAGGCAAAATTAAGGCAAGCAAGCTACGACTATGTACACACATGTTCACGTTATAGGTACTAAAATAATAGCTGTATTCTGAAGGAGACATATGATAATATAAGTCTTTAATCATGAACATTACATTATGCCTACGAAGACCAAATAAAATGGTAAAAACGTTAATTACTGTCAAAACAATTCGTCTTTTGAAAACTTACTCGAAAACCGGAAATTTATATTTGATATCATAGTACGTACGATCAAGCATTTTTTTTAAAAATATATCTGCAGTAGTAAAAACAATATGCCAAAATGTAAAGGGCAGTGTTTATTGTCAGTTCTGCAAAAATAGAACAAAGAAAATTTCCTCCGAAGCAATTTAAAAAATTCAAACGTCTTCAAACATGTTCAAATAGTTGAAACAAAATAATGTATACATTACAAAGCTGTAAAAGGATAGTCACAAACTTGAGAAAACCAATCAGGCGTGCATTTGTCATTCTTCCAAATATTAAAAAAAGCAAGTTAAATACTATTTAACATGAAGTCACATGATCTAATTCAGAACTATTGAACAAACCATTAGAGTCAGAAGCAATATAATACCTTACAGTTATACAGTACTCTCTAAATACAACATACATATTAGAACATTATTTTGAACATAAGGAATAATAATCACCTACAAAAACCACCAATACAGTATGTTAACATGATAAGGTAACAATACTACATGTAACTATTAGTTAGTGTAAACTAATTAGTCCGAAATGAAGTATAGTCGTGTACATTGGTGTATTAAATTTTTCTAAAAAATTAGAGTGTAGAATATCCCGGAATGAACAAGATTTCCCATTTACTGTTTCTTTTTGCATTTCTTTTCGCATGTTTGTAGCTTTTTATATGAAAAAATATAAACCGACAATGCAATCAACAGACGAAATACCAAAGAAATTTGTGATACATCTTAAATTGTGTGGTCTGTTTTTATTAATGATATGTATGGTCACTATGATGTTATTACATATAGTTGTGACAATTTGTTAATATCTTTACTTCTTTTTTAAAACCATCCAGCGTGTAGCTTTTTCTAATATTTTATCATGACCCTGTACTATAATCTATTGGTCCTTGCATTAAAATATACCGATATCTATTCGTTTTTAAAAGTATATGATTTGAGAATTATTACGATTATTTTCCAAGGGCAAAATTGAAATTCGCATATAAGGCTTTCAAAAACATTCGATGTTATGTTTATTTTCCTTTTTAATCAATAAACATATTTTGTTCTGATATTATTAGATAGTTGATGTGACAAATTAATGGGGAACATAATAAATGTAAGTATATCTCTTGTACTAAAAAAACCCAGAACGTACACAAATGTTCTCTTTAAATGGTATCCATAATATCATGGGTGTCTGCTTTCAAATTTACAACTGATTATCCATGCTGTCAACAAGCGTATTCAACCGTATACACTGTTTCCTTTTTCATGGAAAACAATAAACTAGACTGGTATTTTATTCATTCATAGAAAAGAGTTTTTGTACTAATTGATATTCTTTCTGAGAAATATTTTCATAAATATATATTTTCTCCCAAAATTAATTCTGAGCTGACAAAACTATGACAATTCAGCAATCATATCATATTTGGACTGACAAACTATGACAATTCAGCAATCATATCATTCCAACTGACCAAACTATGACAATTGAGCAATCATATCATATTAAGACAGACACATTACCTCATTGTCAGGTTTAACTACTTTAGGAAGCTCACTCTTCCTTTTCAGTGAGTGCATTTGCATTTTAAGAAAAACAAGGCCTCAAACTATTAGGAGTTTAGCATACAAGGTCTCATTTGTTTCCGGGTAAAGTTTTCGTGAGATTCTTGTTAAACAATGTGTTGCAATTTGTTTTCAAAAGCGTATGCATTAAAAGAACGATAATCGACCAATTGTGAAAGTTGTTCATTCGAGACCAAAACAAGTGTAAAACGTAAATGTCTTAATACAGACTGCAAATGTTAATGTCCCTTACTGATACTGAAAATGTAAAAATTATTTGCTAGTTAAACTTGCAGCCAACATTTCCATCAATCAACAAATGTGGTCTATGTAGCATAGAAGAGGAAGTTTTTTATTTGATTTTGTAGGACAGTGTCTTTCCTTGATAGACTTTTAACTATGAAAGTATAGTTTAACATTGCTGATGTACATTTTAGTCTAATATTATATGTGCTATATAACAGGCTTATCGGAACAAAACATTCAGTTATGACAATAAACTGTATAAACCATTTAACGGCCTGGTTTATTTTATTAGTGACTGCAGGACAATAGGTGAATTAGCAAAAATATAGATATACTAAGACTTGAAAACATGGTGTACACTAACACATTTCCCGTTCACGATAATACAAAAACGAAGTAATGATTTTCCAAACAGAAAGACGACTTGATTGATCAGTATACCAAAAACTGTTTGAATATTCACTATGATAACATGTTCAACCTAAATTGCTGTTCTTCCACACAGTAAAAAGTATGTGTATTGATACAATCAAATGTCTTTGAATTGTCGATATGCATTAACAGTTAAAATGAATTATTCTTGCTTTTCATAAATATTCTCTAAAAATTTCTTTTTCATTTTTCACCGGGAGCAAACAGAAGAAAACTGTTCTTGAATAAAAAGAAGTCAGAACAAATCTGATAAAGTTTTCTCAACTATTTGTACATTTCTACCAATGTTAATGAATGCATTTGCGATATTTCTCAAAGTTCGTTTCAAACTGTGCATTTTGCAAAACTGTAATCTCCATTCTTCTAAAATGTCCTTGTTAAGTCTGACCAAATCTCGTTCATTTTGCCTGTGGGCGATCTGTTCCCAGGTCTGAAACTCCATTCCAAGTTCTATCAGGAACGGAAGTGAGTTATTTGCAACCAGTGGAGCCAATCTATCAATGTGCTCCTCTGTGGGTACCATATCCCACTTATCTGCTTCCTTTTCTGTGATGTTTAAAGACAAGTCAGTATTTGATTATAAGTCAAAATTAAAATGAGCATATTTTTTCAATGATATGCAAAATGAAGGATAACTGTTTCAGTCGAGGCAAATAGGAAATACCATAATATTATGAAATTTCATAATTTAATTGAAATATAGGATCAAAGTGGAGTTGTCTCTCTTAGACGCTTCTTGTCAAAAAGGACATGGGAGATAACAACTTTTGTCTTAAACGAAGTTAAAAGGAAGACAACTCATTATCATAATAAGTTCAGATTTAAAATAATAAAAAAATGTATAACAAGCACCCATTTTCCTATGCTGTTTACGTTTCTTCATTTTCTAATTAGCTCATGTATTTTGGAATATATAGATAAATATCTTTACAGTATATTTGAAATAGGCCTTTTCGTCGTCCTGCCAGTGTTATATAATATAATAATTTGATACCAAGATGTATCATGTTTCTGTTTAGTTTTTATCTAGTCTTGAACAATCAAATCCTCACCCTTAATATTTGCCACTGGACATTAAGAAATACTTATCCATCAATCACTGAAACAATTTGTCTCTTAAGATCTAAGTGACTTTATGAAGAATAAATAGAAGCCGAATGTATAAGTTGAACTTTAACATTGAAAATTAAACAGAAAATAGTTGTATAACCGATGTTCAATTTCATGTCGTAAAAATCGTGAAATTTACATTTAGGAATTTATTAATTTGGGTTCTAACTACGAGTATTATTACACACAAGGAGTAGATAACTCAAATTTGACTAAAGATTATTTAAAATCGGGTGTAATGCACAAGAAAGAATCATTTTATGTGTTACGAAATATCATTCTACGACATACCAAATCATGCATGTGGAGGTCAGTTGAGAATTTATGTACAGTTAATATATTCTTTATACAAATTATAGAAAAAATCACAGAACCATGTATCTATTAACACTAAAATCTGTTAGAAAACTAACAACGGGGAATTAACAATCGAGGTCCTTACAAAACTGACAACTATGACAATAATTATTGTCAATAGCCTGTGCACAAATCAGCATGAACATATATATGCGATTGATGCGGATCTCACATTAAAACACTGGCAATCAACACAGTTGAAAATTTATTCTTTGCATCATAGCAAATTACTGATCCCAACATGGTGGACAATGACTATCTGACTAAGAAAACAAATCCACTAAACACTTAAAAACTAAATAAATTTAAGAAATACAAATAATTGAGACTTGCTTCTTTTTTTTTTCATTCACAAATGATTCGGTGACTGTAACGACAATGTCCATAATATTTCATGTAGACGTTAGTATACAGAAAATCAGAGAAAATCAGAAAATCTTAGAAGTTTACAGATGAAATTTGTAGAATTATGGGTGGCAGTCAATTAATTGCAACATAAAATATTTATACATTCCATTCTTTTTAATAGCACACGCTCATGGAGATAGAAACGCATTTTGTAAATAACCTATTGTTATTTGGGAATATCTGTTGTCAGCATAAATTGATCGGAGACAATTTGTTCACTACGTTCCAGTTAAATTGGAAACTATTTGTACATTTAAATGCGTATTATGTGCATATTTCTACATACATTTGTTCTATATTTCTATAAGAAAAAAAATCTTAAAATGATTTTATGCGTTTGCTTAAGTTAACGCAGGATAAACTTATAAGTATTGACTAAAATCAGATACACTAGTTAAAAACAGAGAATAAGGAATGATGTCATATTTTGATTTCATTCATTTTAATTTTAAGTTAGAGAATTAAATAGTTCGCAGTCATTTCAGGTAAAAAAAACAATATGAAAAAAAGTATTCCATCATGAAAAAAAAAACGACGAACAAGTGACCCATATCTTATTCGTTTTTCATATGCATATTGGCGGACGGTTCGGCAACACAATTGAGTATACATTTGTGCAGAAATAGTCACATGATATTAATCAGATTGTAATTTGGAATGTAAATATAGAAAATTTGGAATACGATTTTCTTTGGTTCACATCTGTGTTTGTTGATAATTTTATCGGCAGGAACCTGCTGGGAGAGATGAACGTCCTGATAATTTAACAAAATGTTTACATAACCAGTGACACATGCTAACTGCGGTTTTATAGAATAGTGTAATATACTATATTGGAATAGGAAAGTACTTATAATAAGAGAAATAAGAGTTGCAGATATACATGAACTGCTTAAAATGATTCATGTTTTTTATTTGCAATGTAAATACCGTGCATTTTTCTAAATGACAATTTGTCTACATACAATGGTTATAAGTGTTAATATAGTTTGCAGATTCAGATTCAATACTTTATTAAAGTCTCACCACTTGTGTAACATAAAATATTCAAATACACGTATAAAGCATAGCGAGTGAATAAATATTAAAAATAATTAACCAATGAAAACATATATTTCGAGATAAAATAGTAATGCGACAGCACACAAACAAATCGAACAACACAATACAAAATAAAGTACAAATATAGTTTTAACGCCTTTTCATAAGATGTTTCAATAGGTTTTGAAAGACTAGAAAAATGCTCGTCTTAATATTTCCAGCTGAAGATTAAACATACAATAAAGTTATCACTCCGGCATTATCCCGATCTGAACCTCTGCAAAAAAAATCTTACGTGTCAAAGAAGACGTATCAAACATTGTACCTTAATACCAACTGCATGTATGCACTTAATTTCATTTATAATTTCAGATTTCGATTATAGTTACTAATTTGTCAATGAAGGAAACGTGTTCCCCATTATCTAAATATTTTACAAACTTTACCATCCCTATCATATATAAAAAAGGAGAACGTGTATGATTGCCAATGAGACAACTCTCCACAAGTGACCAAATGACACAGAAGTTAACAACTATAGGTCACCGTACGGCTTTCAACAATGAGCAAAGCCCATACCGCATAGTCAGCTATAAAAAAGGCCCCGAAATGACAAATGTAAAACAATTCAAACGAGAAAACTAACGGCCTAATCTATGTACAAAAATTAAACGAAAAACAAAAATGTAACACATCAACAACCACTGAATAACAGGCTCCTGACTTGGGACAGGCACATACATACAGAATGTGGCGAGATTAAACATGTTAGTGGGATCCCAACCCGTCCCCTAACCTGAGACAGTGGTTTAACAGTACAACAGAAGAACGAACTATAAAAATCAGTTGGAACAGGCTTAACTCATCAGATGTATACAAATAGAAATACATCTAACAAAAACACAGAATGGACGTGGCCTATGTTCTTCTGGAATTTTTGTTAAACCTACTGACAGTAAACAAACAAAGGCCTTATTTCCTTCAAACGTTTCTTAAAAGCTACATTACAATGGGCTCACGAAGTCTGATTTCTTGTAGCAGGTACCTATAGCTACTGCATGTAGGAACTTAGAAAGGCAATTTGACAATGTATTTGTTCCGGACCTTATGAGTATTTGGACCATACGCGTATATGCAAGGGCATGACCATCTGCGTATACTCATATGGTCCGACCAGATGAATATTACACTTGTTTGGTTATTTACGGGCTGGACCATATGAGTATTGAGACCATATAGGTATTTTCGAATAATTCTATCTTCCTTTGCAGGAACACACATCTCATTCTAAGAACTGAAAACAGTTCAAATTATTATTATCTGATTTATTTTACTTTTAACATATTGCATTGTCTGACTATTGGTGTATATGTTATCTTTTATTTGCTTAGAGCTAATTCAAATCGCCTTTAAATTGCTATTTCTGCTTATTTTCTTGAAACTGACGTATTCTTGCTGCTATTAATATGATATTACTGTCATTGTAAGATCGTATATATAGGATCAAGAACAAATGAACAAAGTAACTAAACACATTTAGAAATATATTAATGAAGTTTAATTTATTAAAAACAAATTTGAACACCAAACAACATTAAAAAAAGGAGAAATCTATAGTGTTCAAAAACCAAAGTGCATGTGAGTTGGGCAGTTTTCTTATTATTTTTCAGTTATTTAGATATTTCTTGAATAAACTTTATTTTTTTCTAAATGAATTCTAATTTTCCAAAGTCGACAGATTGCAATTCTTATGGAAAAATTGATAATGAATGGCCACTTATTATTTCACTATAATATTTATTCCAAGTAATATTCATTTTATTAAATTAATCATGTAACAATGGCTACAATATGATTGAATATGTCAAAATTTAATTTTTGAGAAACTCTTAATTTATGTTGTACACCTTTTTAACGTTGATCGTGTTAATTACCCGGACCATACACGTATTGTCAGACCATACGCGTATATACGCAGATTGTCCAAATACTCATATTGTCAGGAACATATTTAACAGGCTTGTTTCAGGTAAGGGTGAAGGTTGATACCTTTTAAAACGTTTAAACCCGCTGCATTTGTTTGCACCTATCCTAAGTCAGGAACCTGATGTTCAGTGGTTTTCGTTTGTTGATGTGGTAAATAGTGGTTTTCGTTTGTTGATGTGGTAAATAAGTGTTTCTCGTTTCCCATTTTTTTTTATAGATTAGACCGTTGGTTTTCCCGTTTGAAAGGCTTTACACTAGTAATTTTCTGGGCCCTTTATAGCTAGCTGTTCGGTGCGAGCCAAGGCTCTGTGTTGAAGACCGTACTTTGACCCATAATGGTTTACTTTTACAAATTGTGACATGGATGGAGAGTTGTCTCATAGGCACTCATACCACATCTTCTGATATCTTTTACTTCTGTCATTATTATTACAGATAAACGTCTAAAATATAAAAAAATAATATGTTAAATCTGATCAGATTGTGAAGGTATAATATCCTATTTTGAAACACTTTGCTAACTATCCCTGCTTTCCCATCAATTAAATTTGTTAATGTGATCAGTTACGAGATGTTCCGAAGTATAATCGTGGTTCAGAATTGATAGTAAACATCAAAAATCCGATACAAAAATATCTGAACAC